TAGATCACTATAGACCCCATCTCCTATTGCTCTGCTATCCTCCAGGGCAGCGGTCAGCAAATGACAGCCTGAAAACAAAATTCTGCCTGCCACCTACTTCTGTACATAAAATTCTATTGGAACTCTGCCGCACTCACTCACTTATGTATTAGTTATGGCTGTTTTCACACCATAGTGGTAGAGCTGACTAGTTGTGACAGAGATCATACAGTCTGCAAAACCTAAAATATGTACCAGCTGGTCTTTTCCCAAAAACAGCTTATCCACCCCCTGGCATGGCGTGATGTCTACTTGGTCAGTGCTAGCTCACCACCCAAGTACCCACATTCCTTGCTGTGGGAAGAGGGCAACAGACCAAGTGGAAGGCAAATGTTTTCATCTTCAAAAGGGCAACTTTAATTTGCACATTTCGCTTCTCATTTATCCCATTGCTGTGAATGTGGTGGGGCAGAAATGTCCAACTAAAGTATGTGTGGGTGGGCCTATCACTAAAAGGCAGAGTAAGTACATCCTGGAGAACAATGAGCAATTCCTGTCAGAACTCCCTATGGTAAAAGAAGGTGGTATAGGTGGAAATTAGGATGGAAAGGGTGAGCCTCTCCAAGCAGCTGCCTTCTTTTTTGAATGAATGAATGGATTTTGACAATGAGAAACACTTCGCAGAGTAGAACTCTGCTCTGTCAAAGAACTTTGCCTCTTCTTATTCCTAGTTACTTGTAATTCACCCAGAGCCTAATTACACTAATACTTTAAAGAGCAGGTCATTTGTCATCAGGGAAATGCAAATCAAAACCACAATGCACATCTTCAGGATGGCTTGAAAATGCTAACTTTTGATAAGGATGTGAAGAAATGAATTCTAATACATCTCTGGTGACAGTGTAAATTGTTGCAACCATTTTGGGAAGTGATTTATCAGTAATTACTAAAGTCGAACATATACATAAACCATTCCACTTCTAGGTGTATGCTGACCAGAAATGCATAAAAGTTCTCACCAAAGATATGTGCAATATCCAAATCGTTGCAACTTATAATATCTGAAAACTGGAAACTACCCAAATGCCCATCAACAGCAGAAGATATATTCACACAATGAAATACTGTTTAGCAGTGAAAATAATATGCATGAGTTTAGTTAAAAATCTTGAATGAAACCACAGAAGAGTATACAGGGTATGGTTTATGTTTACATAATGCTCAAAATGTGCTAAATTGATCTTAGAAGTCAAGAATAATACCTCAGAGAGTGGTACTTTGGAGAGTGGCTAGTGACTGAGTATAATGTTGTAGGGGAGGTTGAAATAGTCTCAAGTGATACAGTTAAGGTTTATCTATTTGTTTATCATCTCCAATTTCTTGAGTACTCAATTTCTTGATTTGGGCACTAGTTTCATGAGTATGTTTACTTTATGAAAATTCATTAAGCTATATGTATATATATATATATATATATATATATATATAATTGGTGATTTTTAAAATACATACTCAACTGCAAAAAAAAGTCAACCTAAAATAGAAAAATAAAGTAGATGTATATATATTCTTTTAACTCTAAAATCAGCCATTTAACTCTAAAATGGCCACAAGCCATACATAATTTGAAACTGAGTGAGAAAAGGACACAGCTCACTCATTGTGTGACTTAAGGGAGTGTTTCTTAGACCTTTCTCTCTACAAACATTACCATAGTCTGCTGTTGTTATACTTTATCACTTTCCCTAAATTAATGATTCTGTAAGAATAAAGGAAGGGATGTGAAAAAAGGGAGGGAGAGTGAAGGTTTAACACATTTGGGAGAGTTAGGTATCTGCTTTACTGTAGATAATTTTAAATCTACCTTTCTCTCCTTACCACTCAGTTCCACCCTTCAGCCCCCTTAAGAATCACTGCTCAAGTTATTCTTGGTCATTTGCTTTTTTCTGATTTGATTCTGAATACAGAAAATAGCATACACAAAATGTTTAATGTTTAATTGGGATGGCCCGTAGAGTTAAAAGAGGTAACAAAGTGAGCAAAATTGTTATCTCATGATTATATCCTGAAACATCTTGAGCAAAATTTATGGAGGGTTTATCAAATTCTTTACAAAACCCTCCTTGTAGATAACTGAATAATTATAAATTATAGGCTTAGAACTAAAAGGAGACAAGTTTGAACTTACCTTCTTTAGTCTTCAGTTGGGTTATTTGAAATGTTTCTCCCTTAACTTTCAAATCTAAAAATGAAAATAATAGTTCCTTCCAATGGGATGAACTGTTTTAAACTACTTAGTATTTTATAAATATACAACATTTGCTTATGTTTACTAAGGAATGAAATATTCACAAAAACAATCTTTAAAGTAGATGCTTCAAAATAGGCAGAGAAAACACTTTCACTTATTTGTGTTCTAAAATTGATTATATTTATCAACAAAAAGTATACTGAATCATAACCTAGATTTTAACATTTTTGCTTTAATATTGTCACCAGAAATAGAATGTTATAAGGTAAACTGAAATTATTAAACAGAAGTGTCTACATTAGGATTTTATGATGAAATTTAAAAAAGGGTTTTAAAATTATGCTAAAGACATACCTACAAAGACATTTTTACAAATTTCTCAATACTTTAATGTTAATATTGGAAATTAATTATGCATGTAGGTCCCATTAATTTTGCCACAATCTTTGTTGTGGTGTGCTTGTTGAAATATTCATTGCCTTGGATAAAATAATAAAGAATTTTAGTCCAAGAAAAGTGGTTCTTTAGCATCACATGATAGTGTCTGACATATATTTTATTAAGTGTTAAGTTTAAATTTTTACCATGTTTCATTTCATTAGGTGCCCTAAAGCATTTTGTTGCAGAACTAGATTCTTACCATATGAGGTATTTAATCCACGTATGTGTGCATTTATAAAGGAATATATGTCATTAGAAAAACTTAAGAACTAAAAATCAACTATAAAATTTGTCCAAAAATGTAATAACACATTAAGTTATACAAGAGTTAGAAAGCGTGTCACTGCTTGCCAAAACAAAAATTAATGCTCCCATTTATTTATTTCTCAGCTACTGTTGGAAGTCGAATTCATTTTTATTTTTCAGACTTTTTTGAATATTTAGTAAAAACAAAATAAGTAATCATAGTCAAAAGATCTCATTCTCATTAACCTCTTTTAGGAATGTACATTTCAATTCTTCTCGGCCTGCATTATCACAGTAAAAGTTGGAGAGTGAAGAGTAAACACAAGCAAGGAAAAATAAAATTAGTTAAAAGACCAAAGAGCAAGAGGAGCTACGACACAGTGGGTTAAAAAAGAAAGAAAAAGAATTCTAGATGGCACTGCTTGAACGGTATCTGGAAGTATACCCTGGGAATCTAGGAAGAAGGGGAATTGAGCTCACCTGTCAGAAATAGGCGGTTTCTGGGAGCTGTCCAATGTACTAACCAAAGCATCATAGTTGCAACTTACCTTCTTAGTAGGAACTGATGTGCTTGTTGATTTTTTTCCCTCTTGAAGTAAACAACTGTTTGCTCATACTCTTTTTTCCCCCAGCTATGTCTTCTAATACATCTTTAAAATGATTTTCTAACAAGTTGTTCTGTCCACAGTGTCTTTTTAAAATTCCCTAGACTGAATAATTAAATACAGTTACTGATAAAGAAGGAAAAATGAATCCTTTGTTAAAATATTAGATAATATGAAGTCAGTAAAATGATCTATTCATTATACCAAATTTGAATTTCTTTTTATGTAAAAAAAAGTTATCTAAGGATAACCAAAAGTCTCCCATAAATAGAATTCAATAAAGTATAGTTTCTGCTCTTATGTCTTGTTGGGTAGTGCAGACCAATGAGGGAAACCAGCCAGATGGAAGTGTTAGGATTTGTCTTTGTTCACAAATACCGATCAGCAATTTAAAATTCTCAACAGAAAGACTTCTCAACAGAAGGTGGGCTGATGGACCCATGGATTTACCAAAGGGTAAGTCACATTTTTTAAAGGATATTGAAGTTATTTTAGGGGGTGGTGGAAAGAGTTTGCCTAGCGCCCCCCACCCCCCCCCACACACACACACGCTGGGATTATTCACTAGAGCAAGCTCTGAGAAAATATGCTGAGCCTCCCCTTTTCAATTTATTGCCATCATAACTTGTGCCCTTGGAGTAAAATCCTCTCCTTTACATGAGTAGGGGATAAGGGTAGGGAAAGGAAAGTCAAGTATCTGAATTGTTAGGCTGCCTACGACAAAACAGACTTTCGAAGTCAGGGTTTGTAACGCGGCAGGAGAGATGTTTACAAAGCCCTGGAAGGAGAAAGCCGGTTCCAACAGCGACTCTGGGGAATGCGCTCTGGGCCCCTCAACCGTGCTTACTTAAGCTAATGGAAGATCTTGCCTTTCAGTAGCCGCTGCACCGGGATACCAGACAAACGGCTCCCCTCCACCCCGCGGCGGGCAGGGCCCCTCTTCGGGACATCATTAAAAGCACATGCACTTGTTTCACACTCATTGGCAGCGTCACACGGCAAGGTTCACAACTCCGAGTCGGAAGCCAAGGAGAAGCCAGAGAGGTGGAAAACATCCTCGCTTTGAAACGCCAACTCTAAATTAAAGAACTACATGAGATAAGGAGCCTGAAGAATATTAGCTGGCCGCGGGGTGAGGAGAGACACGAAAAGCACAGCAGGTAAGAGCTGGGGGTAGTTGCCAAGAAGGAACTGTCCCAGGTGGCGCAGCGAAATGGATGGCAGAATTGGAGGCCGGTCTCTGTGAGTCTTCCAGGCTTGCTCACGCCTGTCTCCTTCCATCAGTTTCGAGAGGAGGGACGTCGTCACAGACTTCCCAATCGGTGCGACTAATCCTGTTATCAGCTTAGTTATAAATATTAACGTCCCCTAGCCCTTCGTCGATGCTATCGCATCAGATTCAGGGCTGTTAGGAAGCCGATCACCAGTCTCGCCACTCCCCGCGAGAAACCGATGAGACACCGGGCCAAGAGGACGCGATGGCGGTCTATCCCGAGAGCTGCGTGGACGCCACCGTGCTGGACTTCGTCGCAGACCTGTCCCTCGCCTCCCCCGGGCACCCTCTCCTCTGTGACTTCGCGCCCGAAGTCCACTTTGGGAACCGAGGCCTTGTGCTCCAGGAGGGAAGACCCAGGAGTCTGGCGCGCTTTGAGGAGGAGGATCCAGAAGAAGAGGAGGGTGAAGTAGACGAGGAGGAGGAGGAGGAGGAAGAGGAGCACGCAAGAGGCACCTCCCTGCTGGGTCGTCCCAAGAGGAAACGAGTGATCACCTATGCCCAGCGCCAGGCAGCCAACATCCGCGAGAGGAAACGAATGTTCAACCTCAACGAGGCTTTCGACCAGCTGCGGAGGAAGGTGCCCACTTTTGCGTACGAGAAAAGACTGTCCCGGATCGAGACGCTACGCCTGGCCATTGTCTACATTTCCTTCATGACTGAGCTCTTGGACAGCTGCAAGAAAAAGGAAACCTGCTGAGCCGATCTGGGAGGGACGCGTCTGCTCCCTCCTCGCCTGGGCGCGTGCAGCCTCGGGGTGTTTCAGGGGCCGGCTGTGGGTGCAGCTGAAGGGCCTGGAGGGACGTTCCGAGACAGAACGTCTGGCCTCTTGGAGCTCGGGTCGGAATTGCAAAACACCCACAGTCTCCCTAGAGTTAATATACACGCGATCGCTCTCCGTGGAGTGTGCTGGGCAGCGGCGGGAGGGCAGCGCCTGGCAAAACTCCTAAGAGCCAGCGAGGCCGTCGAGGCGCGAACTGAGAAGCAATTTCTGCCTGCGGTGGGTGAAAAGTGAATCCTCTCCGCCTACGGCAGACTTTGGGGGTTTCTATCGAGTCCAATCTCTCTTCCATACCTTTTTTAAAATTAGATATTAAAAATAGACATTTTTTTTTGAGTCTCAAGAGCCTGCGGTGCCGACCCTGGCAGGCTAGCTACTCAGGCCTGCGCGCTTAGCAGATCCGGCAGCTGAGACCCTGGAGGGGCGCTGGGCACGGGCTCCGGAGAGGCCAAGGGACTCTGCCTCTGGTCCGGTCACCCAGGCTCGTAGAGAGACGAAAGAGGATGCGGAAGGCAGTGGGGTCGAGAGGACTGGCGACCTCACACTGTTCCTTTCTCCGCCCTGGTTCGCTCCTTCCCTCTGTCTTCTCCCGGAACTAGCAGCCCCGTTGGGGTCCCTCCTCGAGCCCCGCGCTTTTACGCGGGAGCAGGCAGCTGCGCTCCTGGGGGCCTAGGGCGTCCACGGCGTTCGCCAGGGGCCGGCGCTTCCCCAGTCTCCTAGGGGTGGCGGGGCAGGGCGGGTCTTCCCCAGTGCTGGGTACCCTGAGCGCGCACTTTTAAAGCAGGGAGACAGCTTTGGGTCTAGTCGCACTTAGAAACAGGGGAGGAAAACAGTCAAAGGAGGAGACGCGGTCCTCTGCTTTGCAAAAATGTGTGCGTTGGAGACGAGGTTGAAGCAGGGCCACGCTCAGGGGCCTCTTCCCGTTTGGACTTTCTGCCATTCCCCAGTTCTTCCTTCTGGGGGACGTGCTAAACCTGAACTGGGGGGCTTCAGAGAGCAGTAGGTGAGGAAAGGAACAGGAGTGAACAGTGCCAGTCTTACTGTAAAGTCAGAAATCCCGAAGGATGATGAATCCGGTTCCCAACACTTTATCTTGCTCTTTCCTGCCCTCTCCCCGACGCCTCGACTACCCTTCCGCCCCCGCCCCCACACTGTTCCTACCATACTTTTAGAAATGTAATTCATTTTACTAAGAAGTAATATATACTTATGCTAGACAGTTGGGAAAACAAAGGTTAAAAAAAAAGAAAGAAAATTTAAATCATTCCACATTGCACACAACATTTTTGTCTATTTCCTTGTTTTTTTTTTTCTCTATACAGATATAAAATTAATATGAACAAGTTTGGGACACTTTTGAGTACCGATATTTTTCCACTGGGCATTATGGAATGATCACTTTTCCTTTGACTTTAAATGTGATCCAAACGTAATTTTGATTGTTGTATTTTATTGTCACATTGATGTTTCACAACTGAACTTCAGTCCTTTACAAGTGCATAACTAAGACAGTTTCTTTTTAAAATAAATAATGATGCAAAGACCATTCTTATGAATCTCTGCCTATCATAATTCCCTTAATATTACATAGAAGTGAAATCTCCCCGTCAAATGAACATTTAACTTGGTGGCTATGAACACGATGGCCAGATGGTGTCCCCAGTAGGTTCTGCTGGTTCACACTCTCTCCCACCAGCACTGAAGGGACGCGCCTGTCTCTCAAATGCCGTGTGAAACTCTGTAGGAACTGGATTAGTTCTGAAATGACCACCCTCCCAAAGATGATGTCTTACTTTGACTGTATCTCTTCACCAGGATTTCATTTTCTGTCTCTACTACAAGATCATCAGGATGAACAAGTAAAAGAAAAAAAATGTAACCAGCTGAGACCAAACAACAAAACCAGTCCATGTTTGTTTGTTTGTTTGTTTTTAATTTTCCTGTCTTCATTAAATAAACTGAAATTTGGACAATGACCTCTCTATCAGTTTTACAAAGTAAAATCACTCATTTTATTTTCTATTTCTAAATAACATTTTAGCTACTAAGACTAGCCTAATTGCATTTTTAAAGACAAAATTTAAATTATTCATTTCAATAGATTAAAGGAAAATAATTATTTCTCATTTCATTATCAAATAGTGTTGTGCCTCCCAACTTATACAGTGCTAGTGGATACATCAATCCCTCATGTTTATCCACTTACTCATTCATTCAGTTAAAAAAGGTGTTGATATTTTACACATAGTATGAATGGGTTCAAAACTGAAAGAGACTATGCAATCATCTCTTCTTTTCCCACTTAAAGTCCTAAAACCTAAACATGGTTTATTAAAAAGTCTACAAATTTCAAATAAGTAAAAAAAAATGGTTCAACTCTAGGAATCATTAATATTTTTTTGAAAGAATCAACTTTGAAAATTAGAATTAAAAAACTGTGTAGACAAAGGATCTCAAAAATCACTGGGTTCTGTAGAATAAATACAACCATCACCCTTTTTTTATTGTTCAAGTACAGTTGTCTCAATTTCCCCCCCACCACCAGCACCCCCTCACCACAGCCATCCCTGCCTCCCACCCTTGAACCTACCCCCTTTGGCTTTGTCCATGTGTTCTTTATACATGCTCCCTGATGGCCCTTCCCCTATTTCCCCTATTATCCCTCTCCCCTCTGGTTACTGTCAGCTTGTTCTTTATTTCAGTGTCTCTGGTTATATCTTGCTTGCTTGTTTGTTTTGTTGATTAGTTTCCACTTATAAGTGACATCATGTGATATTTGTCTTTCACAGTCTGGCTTATTTCACTTAGCACAACCATCACCCTTAAGCCTCTCCCTCATATTCTGAACTGTTCTGTTAGATTCTTAGCGAGAACATAATATCCTAGAGTGAATACCCCTTTGGCATAGTAAAGAATACTTGAAGAACTTCCAAATAAAAAGCTATTTCCCTATTATTAGTAGAATGATGTCCACAATTCTTCAAACTGTTACAGCTCATAAATGCTTTGTCCTTGTAAGTGTTTTATGTGTTTGGAAGGTAAAATATAAAGTCTCTGAAGGCCTTTTAAAAATCTTTGTATTAATAGAATAATGTGAAGCCAAGTAAGAATCAGAAACACAAAGAAATGGATAGATTTTCCCCCTTACACCAAATTATCCCTAGAGGTAACACAGAATGGTCTGGATTTCAAACATGAATCCACTGCCCCTCCATATTTTGACACTCAACTAAGCAACATGATAGTTTTAATTTTTCCCATTAGATCCATAAATTCAGCATACTTTTTAATACACTGTTTTAGTATATATACAACCTATGTTAAAATTGTTTTATTTTTTATTATCTTCTAAACAAAACTGATAGAAATGTCAGGAGACATTGTTTTTTAATACCTTCTACCAGTTAAAAAATGTCCTAATTATGTCAATTACTTCTGGAAAATTGTGATGATTAGTTTTTGAAATCTTAAAGTTATTTGGACACTTGGAATGCACCATTTTAGCTATTGCTTGGAATCCATTTATTTTTGCGCTCTTTGCTGACTGAAAACTGCCTTTTGGTCTCAAACTAAGTTCCCCATAACTATCAGGTTACTATTAGTATTGAGACATATAAACCAAAAAAAGATCTAAATGAAATCATATTTGAAAGACATAATCAGGCTTTCCAGGGAAAGTAAAAATAACCAGAAGACGTTGCCATCAATAGGCAGCCCCTCAAGATGATCATCTTTTACAGTTGCCCAGCGTGAAAGCCGATTTTGGCAAAATGAGCACTGGAAATTGACCCAACTATGATTCTAGCATGCATAACTCCTGTGTGGACATACAATTAAGACCCTCGGATTGGTGTTTATTATTGCATTTGTCAGCATTTCATTATAAAAACACTATATTGTGAAAGATTTATAACATGGCTATAAAACTTCTGAGTTGAAACTCAATAAGCACAGTTTAGTATAATTTTATTTTATGTAATTATAAATCTTCAAAAATGTCAAAGGTAATTAAGACACCTAAATACATTTTACAAGTAAGGTTCCAAAGTGAACCTGCAACTTAAAAAGCCAAGAGATTGATTTAATACAAAATATAAACTAGATTATTTAATTTTCATCAAAAATAGCTGCCAGATTAGTAATAAATTTTAAGCATGAAATCTACTTTTGTAGGGTGATAGTTCATTAAATTATATTTAAGTGAGTTAGAAAAGTGTTGAAGTACTGGTATATATCTATATCTTGGCCTAAGTGCAGTCCAAGGTTCCTGAATTTTCCAAACATTTTGGGTGAAGTAAGGCCCCATTTCTGGTCAGTGCCCTCTCTTCCTGTGAACGCTGAACTGAAAAAGGTTACAAAACAAGAGTCAGCAGTTCTGACCATTTTGTTTTGACTTTGGGGTTTCTTTGAATCCAAAGCTCAAAACCAAACCTGGCGGAGGAGGAGAGAAGGAAAGGAAAGAAGCAATGCAAACTGACAGAAATAAAATACCAGAAAGATGGAAAAACTTCTTCAAGTCTCTAGAAACCAAAGCTTATAAATTACCACAACTTTTTCTGTGACACCAAATTTTTAGTTCTATGCTTAAAATGCATTCTATAAAGAAGTATAAGGAATCCAATGAAATGCAAAGAACAATATGAATGCATTTTAAAACACTATGGCTCATATTTGGTAGACTTCTCCCCTTAATTTTGTACAAGGCAAGGAAATTTTAATATTCAGTGAAATCAAGAGTTTGATGAATATTATACAATTATTATAATAAAACATCTTATGGTTACTCAGTTCTTTGTTGTTTTTAAAGAACCATGTACATACTTTCTCTCATTTGATCTTCCCAACTGGATTTCAAGAGGATATAGTGTCTCAATTAAATCGAGTCATCAGCGTACCACCTTAAAAATTCACTCACTTAT